TTTAAAATAATACATTATACTTTCAGCTAACACCTAGCTTTTCTCCCTGTTTTTCCAAACACATAGGAATTTTTTTATAAAGCTTGCTAACTTTTCGGTTTTTTCTCTTTATATATTCTCATCTGGCCCCATAAAGAAGACAGACAAAGCTACAATGCAATTTAAAATATCCTTTATTAAGTCACCACAACTGGGTAAAATACATAAATAGGAGAGGCTTGGAAGTTTGTGAAAGTCACCTGATATGGCTAAACAGTAAAAAAGGTTATTAGAAACAAGATGTCATTCCTCCAAAAGCTGAAGTTGTACCCAACTGAAGAAAGAATCACAGACTTGGAAAATTAATTATAATAATAAAATGGCAGGTAAAAAATGAGTGTACTCTTCCTTTTGTTTTTGTTTTGCTATATCTTCCTGCCAGCTGATAATTGAGATAAAGAATGAGCACTCGCAGAGGATCACAACATTTCAGAGAGGTTAAATTAATTCTTTGCATCAGTGCAAAAAATTTACTTCACTGTAGAAGAAACTGAAGACATTTCATCACAGAAGCTTTTTCTGATACATCTTTGGTAAAAAAAGTCCTGCTTTATAAACCTTGAGCTCTTCCAAGATGTCAACAAGTATTCAGATAAGGGTGATCTGGGTAACACAGCCTGCTTCTGATTCCAAAAAGCTATTGGCAAGGACCCTCACTAACAACATTTTAGGAAAACAGACTGTCACTGGACAAGAGTCCTGACATGGCTAAATAATGGAACAAAAGACAGGGAACAGGGTAGTAGCAAATGGTCAATTCTCACAGTGGAGGGAGATAATCAGCAGAGTTCCCCTGGGACCTGTTCTATTCAACATGTTTACAAGAGATGAGCACTGAGGTGGCAAAGTTTGCTGATGTTAAGAAACCATTCAAGACAGTGAGGAAAAGAGCAGACTGTGAAGGATTGCAGAGAAGGATGAAACTGAGTAATTGGACAATAAAATGACAGATGAAATTCAGTGTGGATAAATGCAAAGTGCACAACGGAAAAAATAATTCTCACTTGATATAGAAAATGAAGGTCTCCAAACTGACCATCACTGGAAAGCTCCTGATGTTGTGACAGACAGTGTCATGAAACTATTAGCGCTGTGCTCAACTGCAGTGAAAAAAGCAAATCACTGTTAGGCATTTTTAAAAGGGGAACAAAAAGCATAATTATTCCACTACATATATCTATTTATGCACAATTTGAATGCAATACTGATCACAGTCATCTGAAAATGAGTAGATTGAAACTGAAAAAGATATAGAGCAGGGCAAGTATGATCAGAGGTACGGAATGGTTTCCACCTGAGCTGAGTGACGAAGAGCTACAACTTCACAATGGACATGAGCAGACAGCCTGTTCATTGTATCTTTCCACACATACATGAAATGATCAAATTAAGAGAGCAGGAATCAGGAGCTTTTTCTTTCCGACCAAAGAGCAGGAAATGTTCCTTTTGGCAGTTTCCTCCTTGCCAATAGATGCTGTCATGGAAGAGTGTTACATGAGGAGAAAAGTAGTTGGAACAAAACGGATTTCTTTAGGGTTGCTAAGGTGACAAACACAACAAATTCAATAAATATGTTTTTAAAAAGTTTGAATTTAGCAACACCCAGGTCATTTTGATGTACGAAAACAAAGAAAGAGACTTCATTAAGGCTGTCCCATGTTGATGGAACCTGTTACATGACCTGTTGAAATCTGGAAGCTTAGAAACTTGGTATATTTGAAGAACATTGCAGTAGGTAAAATATTCACATGTTGGCAGACACAGAGAAAGAGGCCATTAATGTAAGAGCAGAATCAGACAAATTCAGTGCTCTGTCATTGAAACCTCATCCACTATTATACTGGACGTCATTTAGTATTTCAAAAGACTTTTTTTCTGAATAGGTTTAGTTCTGGAAGCTTGTAAATTCATTACATTTGTAAGGAACACTAAAATCTTGGAGAAGATTACAACCTATCTGTTAATCTTTAAGGAGCAGGAATTGTCCCTTCTGTTCACATGGTCATTCATTCTTGACGTGGATTATAAAGTTGACTATAGAATGAATAAAGACTGTCATACACTATTACAAGTCAAATCAAAGGATGCATTGCCACAAGCATCTCTCTTACTGACTTGATGTTACATGTACTTGCTTACACTCTTATGTAAAAATAAAATAGAATTGTATATCCACTGTTTACTATGTATCTATTATTACATTATAACACACAATATGACAAACTGCCAAATATAAGTTTGGTTTATATTACTGTATTTTTAAACAAGAATGAAGAGTTGGCAGAGAGCTAGATAAGCGCTCATTTACTGCATTTTGTATAAATCTAAATAAACAAGTGTATGGCAGGTTGTCCTAATCTAACTTCTCTTGGTTGATATTGGATTGTTCCTTTTTGCACCATACACATTTTGGAATATTTTCCAACCGTAGACTAAAGTGTCTGGAACACTCACAAACTGACTCTCATACTGATAATTTCTCCTCCATGTGCAAGGAAAAGAGTACAAAATCCTGACATAAGAAGACGACACATTGAGAAAGCTCTATTCTGAATTACCTTTATATGGAAAAAATCTTTTAACTTTGCACTGGACACTGCAAAGTTGCAAGACTGGACACTGTTCAAATGACACATTATAGCAAAGAACATGCTTTCTCCAGATTAAACTGATGTTGCAGTAAGTCACTTACATACATCACTTTATTCACTTCCCAGCAAGATCTGATCAATGTAAAAGAAGTCACTGAATGACACTTCACACACCAGTGTTGAATTCTTCCCTACAAAACACTACATTTTCTTCTTTTTTTTGTTTTGTTTTGTTTCGGTTTGGGGGGTTTTTCTCCTTTTTTTTTTCTCCCCATAACCATTATGTAACTAAGGTTTTCAGTTGTAGGAAAAGTGAATCAAGGTTACAGTAATATTTCAGACTTTACATCAGCTTTTTAGTTTCTTCAAGGCATTGAGAAGGGATCATATAACTTTGTTACTGTCTTCATCACACGTCGTTACTAAATCTGAAGGACTGATCAATCCATTAGACACTCATTTGAATACTCATTTTATAAAACTTTATACTGTTATAACAAAACTAAAAAGCCTCAAGAATGTGGAATTAAAAATCAAATCAAGCATTTATTATAACAAGCCTTGTTTTCATATAGTACTTCACATTATTTTGTAATTTAATTATTTTATTTATGCAAATAAGGCCCCAAATGCTACTGCACTCAAGAAGGTAAACACTTTACATTTTTTCCTCCTTAAAATGCAACATTTTATGATGTCTAGATATGTTTATTAATTAGTGATTATTAACACCCAGTAAACAACATCATGTCTTGTAAAAACACAATCTTTCTTCACAGCGTGAGGCTGAAATCTATTATTCACTGATTCCATATGCTGAAATACACTCAAATGATCACAAATGACCTTAAGCATTAGATAAATGTAAATGAGGACAGTGTAGAAAATGTGCTTTTGATTGATATCTAAAAGACCAGGTTTGAAGTCTTGACAAGGGATGAAATCTGAAATCTCATACTAAGTGGAAATCTGCAAAATCTAAGCTTCTGGATGGACGTACCACACAGCCTCTCCTCAGCAGCGTCTGAGGAGTTCTGCTCACAAAAGGTGTTCAACACATGGAACCTGAAAAACCTGGGGCCTGTGTGGCCTTTGTCTACTTGGCAGGCTCCTATTAGGATGCAGAGATGTATCTCTAAGTTATATGTCCATACACCCTAATGAAGGTAGAATTTTTCTAGCCCTAAGTGCTCACTTAAAAGAACTTCTCTACACAGATTGGCTCCATAAGCATACAGTTAAATGACATGAATGATAGCCATTAAAACTGTATGGGTTTAACCCTCTGTGTTAGTAAGCTTATTCTGCATTAACAGTTTGCTTTTCTCAGCCCTTTTTCAGCTTTACTTTTGTCACTTTTAGAAGAACTGAGAGCCGTTCTGGAATGTGAGCCATCAAAAAGAAATATTTAGACACACAAGTAAGAGTGCACTATTTACTCTCAGGTAGCCATCTTCTAATTCTTAACTCTATGCCAGGAATATGAAGTACTTTACAATTTACTTTTAAAATACTGCAAGAAATGAACACACTTCAATTTTTCAGCTACTTCCAGTCCCTACTGTACCTGGAGATACCTCAGTGAAGCAGACAGTTAAACAGTTCAGTGCTACCACCTATTACAGGATGGGTATGAAAGGCTCTGGAGAAAATCTTAAACCAAAATCTTTACACCTCTACAGTGCTCACCCTCCAGAGTGTGCCATCAGAGCTAACTCAGAGACAAAAGAGGAGGTGCACTATGAAAAAAATGCTGGGTGCAGCCTGCACCTTAAGTCATAGTCAATAAGAAAAGGGCCCCAGCACACTGTGCCCAGTTCCCATGCTCCCTATCTGTCCTTGCAGTGACAACACAATATGGATTGCACAGACAGGATGACCAAAAAACTTCCCATGGATGCTCCAACAACATCTACCTGAGGGCAAATGGGATTTGTTGCAACCCTGAATTCTCAGAGCTATATAAAATGAAACCTGCCGGTGATTTAGGTAAATTCACTCCAAGCCTGACATTCAGTACTATGGGTAGTGGTGACTCTGAAGAAGACATATTTCACCCATGCACTGAACCATGGGTTGAAGAGACATAGTCTACATTAAAAGAAGATAAAGAGAGGTTATGTCACCAAGATAATCATGCTGTATTTCCTATGTTAAAAAGCAATTCACTTTTTTTTAATACTTCTAAATTTCTGTCTTGCACCACTTACCTACTTATACTATACATACATCTGCGTAAGCAGCAGTAACATAGGTCACACTTTCACACTTTTGCATACATTTCACATCTACATTAAAAACAGAATTACATGCAAGAATCAGTAAAAGAGTTTAACAGAATCTTCAGAAGAAATTTTAGTACAATCTTACCGGCTTGACACTTTCTGAGCCTTAAATACTCCAGCATTTTGGTTTCTTGTGATGATCTCATTTACATCTGCAGTATAATTGTTAAGAATTTCCTACAAAACTAGAGTAATAATAAAAATAATAAACCCCATTCTTTTCCACTGATAATACCTGCATAATGTCTCTCATCTGTTTGGTCTTCTTTAATCTGTGCTAACTTCTCCAGCACATCAGCCATATATCTATGCAGCAATTTGCTCTCCATTGCCTACCTCTATTTACTGTTTCATTTAAGGAATTTCTAGCCCTGTAGCTATAGAGGGAACTGAAAAAAGACTTTCCATACCTTACATATATTTAAAGGTAACTATTTACAAATATAAGAATTAAAACCATGTTAACTGAATTTTTTTAGCATGGTTACTAAATGTCCAGTTTAGTTTGTGCTGCTTTTGACTATAACCCAGTGCTGAGATTTTGGAGGCTTATGGGTTTTGAGTACCTGCCCTGCCACAAGACACACATCTTTGTTCCTGGCTCTGTCTGGGTGACTCCAACACACAACAGGATCACTTTAACCTATAGGCAAAGGAGTTTCTAGTCCATTTGCTTTCTTGAGAATGTTTTGGAACCACCATAAAAGAGTACAAAGCAATAAATGCCTTTTCTTCCCCTTAGGTGCCACAACACTGCCTCAGCCTCATGTCTCAGCTTCTTGTAGTTTACAAGATCAGGTCACAAATTTGGGGAGCCATTCAGGCAGGTGAAAGCAAAGGCTATCAAAGAAAAGTTTCCAGGGAAGCTGAGCCCAACCATCTGTTGCTAGAAAGATAACCTTCATAATCAATCATTTGTGGTTAGTGAGAAGCCATTGGAAGGAAAAGTATATCAAGTAAGTGAAAACTATGACAACACTAATTGCCACTCAAGGTGAATCCATATGTATTTGAATGATTCAGTCTCAAATATAAAAAATTATCTTAGACACTTTTGGTAAGGTTGCCAATGATCCCTCTTTTTTATTTAAGGTACAGGAAATCTAAAGCTAATTAGGAAGGTGTTTCTAGGTCCACAAAACATGACAAATTTTTTGAAAGTGCTCTTATAAGAAAACTGAACACTAGTGTCAGGCTAATTTGAAATATCATTGATATATCTTTTTATTTGCTTTGCTGAAATCACATAATTGGCCTTCCTAACAGAGTTGGTCATTTAAGAAAAGTTATTTTAGGAAAGCCTCTATCCAAACAATGGAATTTTCTAAAGCAAAAAACTAGAAATCAAATGACAGAAAACTGGTTTGAACAAATCTCTGTAGTTTGGATGTGCCTTTTAAATCTTTTCCACAATATGTAATGAGAAGTAGTAAATGAATGGTCTATACCTGTGAAGCAATAGGAAGGCATAAGTAACTCCATGAGCAAAGCATGCTGTTTTTAAGTAGATGCAGAAATAACATTGTTGATAAATTAATACACTGCACTTAAATTATATAACTGAGCAAAACTCTTAATAATGGTTATAAATATGGTAACACTGGCTTTTTTAAATAATTTATGAGCCCATGTCTTCAGGCATTCAGGCTGAACATGACCCTTCTAACCTAAATTTCCCAGGACTGTTGAAAGATCCATACACTTTATTTTAATGGCCATTATAGTGCACTGCAACAATGTTTTGTATTATTGATGCTTTCAGACAGTAGTTCAAGTCACTAGTGCATGGTGTGAAACAGAGCTAAGGCAGGAGGTACACAGCCTCTCTGAAATAGGAGAGAATTTTTACTAAAATGAACCTCATCCTTGGATCTGGACATGTCAAACTGAATAAAGATGCTTCCAGTGTTCTGAGGAAATAGAATTTGATGTTGATGACTGACTTATGTCACAGCTATTACCTGAGCTGAGAAATTTGTATCTGAACGCATATCACCCAAAATTACAAATGGGGATGAATCTGATAACTTTGCTCTATTATTCACTTGATATGTCTATTTTTTTATTTTTAATACTTTCCTTATTTAAATCATCCTGAGAGAACTTGGATAAAACACACTAAACAAACAATAAAGTTTGGAACAAGGCTGCAAAAGGAGTAACATCTGTCTTTATTTTATTGATTTTGCTATATAAATGATCTATTTGATCAATTAAAACCTCCTCATGATAAGGAAAACCAGTGAGTTAGAGTGAAGTCTTTTAAAGGGATTAGCAACTCAAATCATAATATCTTTTTAAAAACCTCCATAAACATAATACATAAGATCATGGATCAATATAAAATATAGCAATATATTTCACAGTGAGAGGGTGAAAATGACAACAATTATTTGAAATTCACTAATTTGTAAATTGTTCCAACTTCTAACATTTCAACAATATATCCTAATACAGATATTGAAAACATACATAGTGAATACTTCACGTGGGAGTACGAAATGGAGATCAATAGGAAGCATGTCAAAAATTAAAAGAAAAATCAAATCCTAAAAAGCTCGAGATTTTGCAAAGCAAAGCTGTTAGTTATGCTCACTGAATAGCGATAGCAATAACAAAAACAACAATAATTGTGATGATGTTGATAATACAAAGGCAGATTCTCAGATGCAATGCACTATTGCCAGGTCGATTTTCAATTACATTTCACTGATGTATTCATTTGTTTCTTAATGTGCTCATCTTGCCCATTAAGAATAATTAGCAGGCTTGCTTGGTGATTTCCTGGCTTCTGACAGGGATTTTTTTTTCTTTTTTGTTGACAACCACTTTTACTTTTTGGAAAGTAATTTTTGAATATTATAGTATGACTGGCATGTAATTTAAGCTTCCTAAGAAATTTAAAGGGAAGATATAAACAGTAATTTTAAAACAAGATTATTTTAATCTATAATACCTACATAAAAAGCATAATACTAGGCATTAACTATTCTTGAAGAGCAGAATCTAGGAAAGAAAACAGTATTTTACCCCACATTACCTTAATTGGGTATGCTAAACAATTAAAAAGTACCATCAGCAATAATAAAAATTAGCAGAAATAGGTCATTTGTAGTCAGTGGCACTTGGGCTCAAATGCTATTTCCAATTACACCTAAAATTCTTACTGATTTCAGTGAGTCTGGTGTGGCTGAAACAGATCTAAATTTAATCTAAACTTCTGTTACAGCTAGTCACTATACAAAAGAGTGCAAAAGAAAATTACCATAAGACAGATCATAAAATTACTACTGAAATCCATAAACCACATAAAATGCAACATAAATTTTATTACGTGCACTTTTAAGAATACATTCCACATACATGGTAAAGTTCTTAGCCTGCTGCACTTTGGCACCCTGCTAATATTAAGCCCATTGTAAAATCCAACACAATAAAAGCACTTTGAATGCTGAGCCTTCTGAGCACCAAATGTTAAAAAAAGAAAAATAAATTCCTGTTAGAGCCGTTCACCAATGGCTTCCCTGTTAGGGATTCACTGAGTGAATACAGATGAAGACTTCTTGTAGGACTTTTGGAAACAGAAGATATTTCTAAAACATATTGTCAAAAACTAAGGTGTGATAATTAGATTACTTTAACAGTATCTTTTTCATGAATAAAAGCATTTTTATTTAATTCCAAAGACTGAGTGAATACTTTTGGCACTTGCCAATTTTCCTGACTATAAAAGACTTCTACATTTCAAAAAAGTTCAGGTATTTTTATGGAATCTGCTATGCAAGATATTTGCTGACTTGATGATTACTGAGTCCACCTGAAGCTTTCTGTGAGTAAAATGACCTTTTGTTAAACACCTATGCTTCTATGCAACACTAGTTTGTTTTGTTAGGCTAGTTTTGAAACAATTCTTTGCTGCCACATTTTTTATCTTCATAATGACGTGGAAGAAAGATTGGAAAGGGTGGTGCTGATTAAAATACACAGAATAATGAATACTTCCTCCTTAAGACACAAGTCTAACAAGCTAGAATTTAACAAAGTAAGGATCCCTGAAACACAGCTGAGAACTTGCCTTTTCAAGAAAAAGGAGACTTTTAGCAGGCTTACTTCAAGTTTTAACAGATATGATCTGGGATTGGCTGTTTATAACATGAAATTGTTCAAGTGTTGTAAGTAATTATAGTTAAGTCAGTTACCTCTGAGAACGTGTTTTTAAAAGGTAGTAGCTAATATTATTGCACTGCAAATGTCTCCTGTTTTAACAGGCATCAGCAACTGCAATTTATTTAAGCCATGGATTAGTTTAACTTTTTTTTTTCATTAAGTACTCATTATGTTAGCTCTCAAATACATACAAACCTCAAATCTAAATAATTCTGAAGCTGCAGTGGCCAAAACCTGAAAAATTAGCCTGCCTTAAAAATGTAAATGGAAAGATTATCAAGGAACAAAAGCAAATAGATATCTTCCTTTTTTCCCTCTCAATTTCTAAGGGTTATTAGTATTCACTGTATATATCTGTTCTTGTTCTGTGCTGATATTTAATGTGGCCACAAATTATGCTCACTCATTCTATCTCTTAGCCCAAGTCCAGTTCAATTTTCTGAACTGTATGTTCATATTAGAAGGGCATGATAGCAATTTAATCTATCATAAAAAAATACAATAAAATACTTTCTACAAGCGACAGAGGAGTTTTGCAGTCTTACATCAAGAGAAATAAAGATAAATTGATAATTGATTAAGCAAACTAAATGGGTAATTTGTAATATACACTGGGAAAACTGTGACAATATACAAGTGTTGGGGATGTTTTAAGAGGCTAGTATTTGAAAGAGGAAAAAAATCTAGCTCCTCTGCAAAAAGGATACATGAAGGGGAGCTAATGATTTGATTCACTACTATACCTCCTGTAACGTGCAGCATACACGCGAGTCTTGCAGCACTCAACCATGAGACACATATTTACTATACCAACACCTGCATTTTTAATTAAAGGCGAAAATGTGGCATTTATTATGGGGGAAGCTGTAGCTCTGTTCAAGATATTCTACATCTATTTTTTAATTACTTATGGGGGACTTTTCTTAATATACCCCATGCTGTCTGTCTTTATATCGATTGTTACTCAGCCAGTAAAAAGGAACGAGCACAACAAACCAGTTTTCTATCTGAATAAGGATACTTTTGATGGCCTTTTCATTTCCATCAGTTAACAGAACTTCTTTGACATCTGCAGAAATAGCAACCTGAAAAAAAGAGCACAGCAAACAATGAGCAAATATGCTTGTCTGTGTGGAAGTGAAGACAGGAGTGACAAGCCTTCAGTATCATGCTTCCTCACCTATTTCTCTGTAACAATCTTCAATCTTTTTTCATTTTATGTCTGCATTATTTTAATCATTCAATCAAATCAGTCAATACTTTTATCATTCCATTTGCGGGAGCCTCTATCTTGCTATCATTCTGTTCCGTAATTGCATTGTGACAGCCGATGATGGTATTCTGAGAGGCTTTCATTTGCGGGCTTCTGTTTATCTAGTAGAGCCATCATACAAGGCTGTCACTCTGCCTTTCAGCTTGCTTCTGTCTGACTGCCTGATGCCCTTCATATAACTTTGCATTGCAGGCAGATGGCTTTGTAAGGGTAATTTTTTTGTGAGCTTTGACATGCTCGCACATTGGGCTGTAACCTCGACACATTGTATAAGAGCGACAGGTTTGTCAAATGCCAATCAGTGTAACAATATGCTTTTATTTGTAGAGACATAAAAACTTGTCTAATGCACTGCACTGCTACATAATATCTCCTGAATACATGACTCAGAACCCAGAGAATGGTGAACGACTCTCCTGAATGGCCAATCTAATTCAAAAGAATCTAATTACCGAGAGCTCTGGATCATGTTTGTTGGTGTAATAATGCAGGCAAAACATTAGCAGCTATATCATGGTGCTCCAACTGTGATTCGCCAGGCTATTCCTGTATCTTAGCAAATGGGACTATAATCTGAAAAAAAAAAAAAGCTTCGGCTATGGCAATGAAAGACAGACCGTACGTGGCCTGGAATGTCACAACAAAAGATATTGACTACACCGAGGTAAAATGTTTCTGCTCATCGAGGCAACCATAAAATCAATATGATACGAAAGCAAGTCAATCTAGAAGGTCTCTCAAGACTCTGCAGCTTGACCGCAGCTGAGGCTGTTGACAGTTCTCTGACCCAGCAGTTGGAGGCACTGGAACATTTTTCCTTTTGTTTCTTCCTCTGAATGGGATTGGAATTGAGAAAAGACCTACCATGAGCCCAGCCAAGCATGTCATGCCACCCCCCAGCTCACACACAGCAAGGTCCCTGAAAGAGAGAAAGGAAATGGTAGAACCCATACAAATTAGATGAAAATGGTCAGAGAGACATATATGTTACAAGAACAAATTGCCATCTGCAGTAAGAACTGAGCTACCAGGAAGTTGTAGAGACATGACTAGGCTACCTCATGTCGTTTTGCGTTTTAAAAATAATTATGAAATAGAAAAGTCACAAAGCAGGCAAATCAGTGGGGGTTCCCTCATTAGTGCTCAGTGCAACATTACCACCGCTGAGCTGAAAAATCTGAGAAGGTTCCCTTTTTTCCCTTGTCAATGGCTCTGTCTTTTAGAACTAAACTAGCTAGAGTAGCGAAAGATAATTGTTAGGAAAGGATAACAATGTTAATCCACATTCATTCTTGCAAAAACAGCTAGAGAAGTAAATGGGGAAATTAATATTATTTATATATCTCTCCATATAGTTATGCCTAAAAGCCTTTTTATATTAAAAAGAGAAGTTTTAAAGAAAGCTGTATGCCACAAAACAATTACACATGAAGAAATCCGATCCTTCAATTAGCACTTAAAACTGCAAGTGACCTACAAACAATACTGTTATGAACAACGATGGGAACAGCAAACGGTTAAGCCACAGAAAACCAAACGAAGTTGGTGTCAAGAGCCTAAACTGAGCCCGATCAAAGGGCTGAATACATGGTCTAAAAGGCTGCTTTTAACTTAGACCATACTGTGCTGTTATTAAGACGTGCATGTGAAATATAATTTGGCGCAGAGAGTGTGCCGGATGGGAGCTTGCAGGGGGAGCCATAAAGAATGTCCTCCAGAGCCATGGCCTGCCCCAAGAGGGGAGGAGGGAGCGATGCTGACCCCACACCGAAACTGTGTGAGGCAGCGTCTGGGGCAAGGCAGAGCCTCAGTTTAGAAACACACTGCTTTATAGCAAAATCTGTGGCAATTTATAGCTGGCAGAAACATTCGCATTAAGACATTTCTGACAGGCATAAAATGGAATTTCAGCTAAATGGTTTGGTTGGAATTTTTTTAGTGCACTTCTTCTTCTCCCTCAAAATATTGACATCCAAAAATCTATTTTTATCTGGAAGTATCACCTCACTACTCACTTGACACTGATATTTAGGAAGAGCATCTAGGATGCCACATCAGTATACAGATGCTGATATTTTGTTCACTGAGGCGAGCAGACTAGGCTGTATGACTGTGTACTAATGTTCACTGTCTGGATGGGATAGATTTATTTTTCTCAGACTCCAAATTTTATTTGAAAAAAATCTAGTTGTCCTATTTAATCAAAAAGAGACAAAAGACGGACATAGGTTGGAGGAACAAGCTGTACATAAACCCAGTGAGAATGTAAAAACAAATGTGAGAAATTTGCAGTTTGTGGTTTAAATAGAATGATTATAAGTTTTTCTCACATAAGTTTTTATTTTCATAAACCAAGTGTGTTATATATTAAAAGTATATACATATGGTTTCATATATTAGACTTATAAGGCACTTAATCCTTTATAAGAGTCATGCTTACTGAAATGAACATAGAAAGTATCTAATGTGAGGTTTCTAGTGCATTTTGAACCAAATTTCTAGTACATAAGCATATACATGCATACAAATACACATAAATATTTATGCATACAAATAATTTATTTTAGTGTAAAGTTCCCTTATTAGTAAATTTTAAAAGTCGTATCTGTCTCTCAGGCAATATTTAGTGACATTTATTAGTGAGAATTAAAATAAGAAACTCTACTCTGAGAGTACTGTCAAGAGGGCATAACCCTGAGAAACCGGGATGTGAAACTTCCCATTTACTCCTTGGCAGTTTGACTGATTACTGTCTCCGAGTGTCCTGGCTTGCATATCCAAGCTAGGAAAACACCCTTTGCATAAGCAGCACAGGGAGGTTTGCTGTGAGGAGCCTCGGAGAGCAAACAGAGCACAGGAGCCACTGCATGGGGTTGGACAGCAAAGTGCTACAGGGACGCCACTATGGCAGCAGAAGTCACAGAGTGCAATGCCCAACTGAACTGAGAGGAAGGAGCAGCAGCTGCCAGGTTAGATGTATTAGCTGCCTCCTCTAATGGGCTGGGTTTCATTCAGCTGATAGAGCAGGAATGAGAACCAGGGCACACTTTGGTGCCAGGTCTTTGATTTCAGATAGGAGTCTGAGCAAGTTGATATGCTTGCTGATTTGGTACAAGGGGCAGGGACTTACAGCTTGGTCTTTCTTATTTTATCAATACCATATGTACACAAACTGAGGGACTTTGTACACTCCAAGCTGGTTTACTTGTATTAGCCTTACACCCTCACTCAGAACACAATTTATGCCTCCAAATGTATTGCTATAATGGCTTTCATTGCACCCCATTCATCCTCTGGAAAATGAACTTCAAGGATTTCCAAGTGCAAATCTCAGTATACCCAAGGGGAAAGAAAGAGGATGCAGGATGGATTTTATTTTTAGAAGTTCCTATTGGAGCCCTGATGGCTGTCTTCTAAAAGTTTAGAAAATGTGAAAAAAAACCCCAAACCCAAATAGAAGTGCAGGATGTTTCAAAACTATTTCACAACACTCCATTACTATATGTGGTGCTAATTCCTCCACTACCACATGCAGTGCTTATTATGTATTTTCTCAGGTAATATTTTGCTTGCTTTTGCAACAGATGTCAGTTTAAAGAATATCTTATTTTTCCTGACCTTCACAATCAGTACTGATCGATTGGAGCTTCACTTTTGTTTCCCAAAAATCAAAGTGAAATAAAACGCCTTGAGTGGAAATCAAAAGTCTTTGACATATAGCAGAAAGCTTGCTGTGCAATATTAGTACCCAAAGGCAGCTCAGAATTCTTTGTTAAGAGCAACATGCTTTCACCTTGAACATTTTAAATTTAATCTGAAGACTTAAATCATAGCAATCTTCACCATGCAGATACAATAAAACTAACAGATTGGAAAATATCTTTTTATGTTTAACTCTGTACCTGAATATTTCATTATGCTTTAGGCAGTAGTAAGCCAGCACTTCTTCAGATGGCCAGAGACCTATAAAACAAAGACATTCGCTTTCTTAGAACAGAATTTTTTTTGTCTAAAATAAAATTTGAATGTATATTACCATTTGCAGACTTCTACCCACTGTTTCATTTTCTAAATCTGCCATAAAAGCATGGAATAAAGAAAAAAAGAGAAGACCTATGATTTAAGCATTAGATTTGAATATTTCATAGATTTCATCCCAACTAATTATCAGAAATTTATAGATACATGCACATACACATAAACACACATACATCTACACATAAGTGTGCAATACTCAAGACTTTAAAAGTCATATAAAATTCAACTCATTTGGGCATTCACATGAACATCAACCTGTTTGTACCAGGCCAGATACAAGGCCAATCCTGCCTTGTAGCCTGTTTCCAGCAGGGGAGAGGAGCCCTCTCCTTTTTCGTTAGCTATAGATATAATCATACTACAGTCACTCCATTTCTTCTCAGTTCATTTTTATTTAGTTCCTTTTCTCTTAGTTTTTGTTAAGTCAGGCAACAATCTGACTGTAAGGAACACTGACCAGCAGCACATGCTAAGGACAAATGCAGGACTAGGGCAATAAAACAGTGTGATTTCTAGTTGTAGCTCAAGAAGTTCTTGAGGAGAAGAGGAAATACGAGTGGTAAGTTCTGTTTAATAGGCACTGAAGAATTTTTCTAGTTGTTCTGTGGACTGTGTAAACTTTTCATAGCTGCAACAGGAAGCTCCACAGTTTTACCATGCTGTATAAAGAAACACCTCCTCTCTCTTGTTTTGTATGCGTCCCTGTCATTTTCATTTAAATCCCCCTAGTTCTCCTACGGGAAGAGAAGGAGCAATCTCACTTTTTTCACCTAATCTGAATTATTCATGACTTTATAAGCTTCCATCATAACACTTTCACTGGTCATCATCATTAGCAAGTATTTAGGCACCCATGCAAATTTACTTCTTCAAAACTAGTCACTCAGGAAACTCACTGTTTCATCAGACCAGTTTTCCACCTGACATGAACATCTAACTGAAGTGCCGTGGCCCACGGAGAGGGCAGCACAGATCCTGTGTGCCTTGCACGCTCTCCTGCACTCTCCAGACTCCGGTGCTGGAGGCATGGAAAACAGACTCGGGCACTTGAGTTAGGTCTGCAAAGGTTCCCAAAGCTAGAGGAGGATAAATCTAAGGCCTATGCAGCCAAATTATGGTTGTATGTGTTTTTCATCTGTTATTGCTCAGCAATGAAAAAACACGTTTACATGTCTGTCTACAGGTAAAATCCAGGGTCAGCTTCCCCCCCCTCCCCCAACATACGGCACTATGAATTAATGAGACAGAAACTTAATATTATGAACTACAGACATTTCAACAGTTTCAGTAAACTTAAAACAGACATGTAGAGCATCCTTTAGGTATTTCTAGACAACTGAATTTCATGCAGCTTACTATGTATGTGCATCCTTTAGATAATTTTTAACAATTTTTTTGTACTCAAGACTTTAAAAACATCACGACATTTTTAACAGAAGCAGAGTTTGTGAGAAAAACTGTCTTCCTTTAAATCACTTAGAGCCTGATTGTAAACATCATCAGTATAATTCTTCCTTTCCATCTAGTAAGTATTCTGAACTCATAGTGATTAATAATGAAAATTTATTAATATCTTTCCTGCATGCAGATCAAGCAAAAGCCTAGGCAAGATTTGTCCAAAACTTTGCCTATAAGTTTTGTATTACAAAGATCTTAAAGAACGACAAAATAGAGTGATAATACACATATGTGAAAAAACCACAAATGCAATATTGGTATTTATCCTGTTTAAGTCAGTTTAGGCTGATCAGGTGTTTGTGAATGTGCTATTTTGCTTAGGCTTGCTAAGGGTGAAAACAAAATATTCCCACAAGACTACTCACCCTTTAGTGAAACATACACTAAGAATCGTACAGGGTTTTCTATCTCCCTTTGAGCACTTCAATGCTTTTGAGCATTGAAATATGCTAAAATGACAGATTTTGCAATAAATATAATAACTGTTTAAATACTTTAGTGTATAACATAGAGAATGTTTCAGTTTGCAGTGACTGCTGTATACTCAAGCAATAAAAGTGCTTTTTTAATATTTAGTGAAGACACAGCTAATTTAATACCATTTACAATACTTATATCTCACATTAAAAAAAAACCCACACCCACAAACATAAAAATCTGAAACCCTTTTATAGCAGCCTGAGTGAATTTTAAAAATACTTGTCAACTGTAGCAAAATCCTTCAACATCTGACTTTTCAATACCCTCAGTCAAACATCTCTCACTTTTCTACACTTATTATTGAAAGGGCACTTTGAATGGTGTCACTGAATCTTTTATGAGGGGTCACTGTTCTTTCCCCTGCTACCATTACAATGTTGATACCAGCTGAAACTGCAGGTGTATCAGATAGCTCTGTGCTGAGAGAAGGGTAAAGCACCTTTGGAAAGACAATGCTTTTCTTTAGGCAGATGCCAGCAATGCACACGTCTCCTCCCTGCTGCCTTCCCCATAGGGAAGGAAGTATCACCTCTGCAATGATATAAGCAGCTGGCAGCTAAAGAAGCAGGAGTCAGGAGGTCTTTCATGAACACGTCTCAAGTGTGGAAGCACCCAGCTAAGCCAAGAAGCCAGAAGCCAGAATACCTGTGTTAATTTTAGTAAAAGGAAAAGCTTCTCGTGCTTGAACAGGTAGATAAGCCTCTTTACCTTCAAAACAAGGATCAGCTTAAAGATCCATGTGGAGGAGTTTGCATTCTGTCTTCTTCCCCTTCACTCTGACCTACATTCGTCAACACAATGACCTACATTTTGAAGTTGCAAGTACAAGATAGTTCTGCTTCTGTTAGAAAACATACCTCTGTAATGCAGAAATGCAGCAATTCCTATGAATTAACAACCACTAGGTTGCGAAAAGCATAATGTATTTCCTGCAAACACATACATATGGATACGGATTAAGTTTCCTGTGAACATACTGAAAATAATTCTTTCATATTTAAAATCAAATTATTCTCATTTTGATTTCTGAATTTGATTAGAAATACATAACATTGGTACCTATTTGCATGTGCAACAACTTACAAGATAGTAAATTATTTACATATGTATAGGCAAAAGAATATCAAAAGACCCCCCAAATGGTGCTCATATTTACAAGCCTATGAATATATAAGTCCTAGACAGAGAGACTAAAAAATCTCACCGTATGAGGAAAAAGAGAGAAAAAAGAGGTTTTCTTGCAAAAATAAATATTTTGCTTCATTTACTGGAGGTTTTAAAACTCTTTATCACCTTGATAATTACAATGTGCAAACAGAGAATAATTGCCAGAAAACACTGGAATCTCTATTGACTGCATAAAAAAATTAAGCTGCATTGCTGTTCAAAGGAGAGCCTCAAGAAGGGGCATGTCTGAAGACAAGGGAGAGAAACAGTGTTCACAGAGCAACGCCTGCCCACATTTCAACTCCTGGCAGGTATCCTTTAACCACTAGTGTGGAGTAGGAGATCCACTACAAATGTGCTATCAGAGAGATGATGTCTACTTCCAGACAGCTTTATCATACTTATTACAGTAGAAGGGATAGAAGAACATTGTCACTAAATTGTGTGATGCTGGATAGAAAAATGCTTCATGTGCATCAGAGACATAAAAAATCAAGGCATTTCTATAGCACTTATCACCATATCATAAAATTTCACCACAGTAATGGAGTCTACCTCACAAGAACTTGACGACATCATGAATTTCTATCATCTCAAGTTGGCACATTAGAAACCAAATGAAGAGACAGAGACAGATTAAGTTACTTAGACACATATAAGGAAAATATGGGAAGACCAAGAAAAACAACCTGAGCAACTCCTACACCCTGTGGTATGATGTAACCAAAAAAAGACACCCCAACTTTTCCTATAGAGGAACAACACTAACAAAAATCAAAATAATGCTAGTAACACATAACTTTAGTTGGTTTTATTACTCTCATTGTGCTTCTATTGGAAAGTGTCAGGTCCTTCTAAACTATGTATAGACAGCCTCCTGAGGATGTATTGTTTTAACCATCAGGTGGAGCACCACTAGTCCGAAGTAACACAAAACTGTTCTTCTGCATCAAATCTAAAAATGATGAAACCTGTAGGATAGTACAGGAAATTGTCTACCAGAAATAAATTATCTAGTATTAAAAAAAAAAAAATTAAAATTATTGTTTCTCCTCTGTTGCTTTTTATCACATATTTTAAAGAATGCTGTCACACCTTTGGATAACAAATATTGAGATCTGATGTGAAGTTATAAAAGAACATGATGTCAGTAGAAAAGAATTTTGAGGCATGTATTTTTAAAGAAGACATTTGATTATTGGAGCCATTATGTCTCAGCGGAGCTCCACAGGAACTTTAACTGGGATAGTGCAGGATTAGTAGAACTCTGATCTGCTACCTGCCAGCACTGCACACAGGAAACATAGGGGCAACTGGACTTGACAGGTGAGCTGTCCCTTGAAGCTCTGAGTAGGAGTTATAAGCTGTCCTACAACTACTTAACTCACGCTAGGAGATTAAAAAGTTCCTTTCCAAGCTGAGCCAAAATGAAAGTATTTTCATATTTCCCTAGCACTTCACCCAGCTACATGTATAGATGTCTGATCTCAAAATTCAAATTTTGTCTTTTATTTGCACTATTAAACTATAAGGTGTCTTCCTATTCATTTGAAGCCTCAAGTAAATTTTGCACAAATCATATCTTAACCCTCAAAAGCAAAGACAATTTAAATTTGAAAAGTCAGTCATTTTGCCCATATGAATATACTCAAAAAGATCTTCTTTTCTACTATGCCCTGATTCTTGACTATATGAAATCACTTTATGTGCTTTAATCGAACCCGGGTCACAGAGGTGAGAGTCAGGCACTCTAACCACTAGAGGCAATCCACCTAAGAGAAGGTCACTCTAAACAAACCTACATCCTGGGGACCTCACTG